GGTCGTTTTAACTATCCACCCCCTTTGGACGTGCTAGGTACGCAGCAGCTAGGCTAACTGGAAACCTGTCTTCCTGGATTAAGTGGTTTTGCTAACTTTTGGCCCCACTGAGCATACTAGATGGGTTAAAATTGTTCCAGTCCACCACTGAAAAAAATATTCGTGGACTTACTCTCTGTCACGTATAGGGACAACTGTTCACACCGACTACCATTGCAGAGAAAGAGTCTACGAAACCTAGCCAGTGGAGTTACCTTCGTTGTAAGTGGCAGACACGGACAGTTAAATATATCAGGCTTTAGTTGTAGACCTCAGTTACCTCATGAGTCCACATGAAGGTTGAATACAGATGAATTGGGTATTAACATGGGTTGTTACACTGTAATCGCACTTTTTGGTAATTTTATCAACGGTTTACTGTTAGCCCGATGGAGACGAGGGCTGTTTCTGTTGGACCGGTGATTTTTCAACAGCATAATGGCATGAGATACTTTGGGTTCGGTATGAATGACTGTGGGTATGTGAGTGAGCTTTATTAGACCTGATTTACATATTTGAAAGCTTACTTTATCCGACTCCTGACTACCTTATCAATCAACCACTATACCTCCATTTAGATACAAATGAAAGTTACCGTTTGCATAGTCCCCGGCATGACTGGCATTTCCCTTGTTGTATACGCATCTTTATATTTAGGACGTTTCTCTCTTGCGTCTAGACATCGATATGCGATTATGCTCCCCAGTTCGTTGGACATGAACAGCATGATGCCCATGAGTTGATGATGGTTCTCCTCGACGTTCTGCAGGAGGACTTAAACAAGGTTCAACTGAAACCCTACATCGAACTAAAAGATGCCGATGGCCGTATCGACGAAGTGAGTAATTCCACATTTTTCAATTTCCCCACTTGTGTCATTCGGCTTCCAATTATTACAAGGGCTTGCATACAGCGAAATGGTAAATTCATGTGTCTTTAGAGGACCGGTTATTCAGAATTATTATGTTATTGTAGAAGAACTCGCTGTCTGAGTTGTACCCCCACTTATTATCACAGGTAACTCCTTCCCTAGTTCAGTATTCGCCGGTTATTAAGCCCACGGTTAATAGGCCCAGCCGCGTATTAA